AAAGCAAATGACTTGATTGGCACCACATCCACAAACATCCACTCCCTTCACCACCAATGCTCAGTTGCAGTAGTGTGTACTATCTACAAGAAGTATTGCAGAAATTCACCAAAGATCCTTAGACAGCATCTTCCAAACCCACAGCCACTTCCATCTATAAGAACAAGGGCAGCAGACAGATGGAAACATCACCGCCTGCAAGTACCCCTCCAACCCGATCGCCATCCTGACTTGAAAATACATCACCATTTGTTTACTGTCACTGGGTCAAAATCCTGGAATTACCTCCATAATAGCATGTGGGGCTACCTACAACACATCAATTACAGTGGTTCAAGAAGGCAGCTCACTGCCACCTTCTCAAGGGCAACTAGCGATGGGCAATAAATGCTGGCCCAGCCTGCAATGCCCATGTCCCATGAATGAACAAAAAGTTTCTGAATCTGCTGTTTTTGGTTCACTCCCTCTGTTCAGTTACACAAATGCAGGCTTTCTGAGCACCGTTTAACCTGCTACTAGTGATGTTTTCCCAGCCTGACGACAATGTTTGAGAAGGATTTTTTTGTGTGAAACATTTTTATATAATCACGTTTGACATGAAAATGAAGTTTAGTTTATTTATTTGACTTTTTCATAGACGGATGGGAATGAAAGGAGTGTTTGGAAAATTGTAGGTGCTGAATCTGGATTTGTACACTCAAGATTGCCCAAGATACATCAAAGTCAAGAGATATGGGGAATTTGACTCTTCATTGTCTAGTAGTCATTCCCTCTTTACAAGATTGCAAGTTAAAGGCTCGGATCTGATATGTTTTTAAACGTATTTCATTTCAATATACAAGGATTGAAATTAAAACAAAAATGCCACACCACATTGTTATTTCTGATTGTATTTGAGTGGATAGCAAGAAAAGATGGAACCAATTAATGGGGAAGAAATGGAGAAAAGATGGAACTGACTAATTGGGAACCCTAATAATATAATTTCCAGCAAGATGTATTAATGTGGATCACAGCACAGATCAGTGGAAGAAAGACGGATTTATACAGTGCCTTTCATAATCTAATGTCATTCCTCAGCACTTTACAGTGAAGGTAACATCTTGAAGCATAGAAAATGCGCAAGCCAATTTCTGCACAGCAATGTCCTGCAAACTGCAATGTAGTTAGGGCCAGATCATCTATTACCGCGATATTGATTGGGATATAATTATTGATCAGGACTCAAGGGAGAACCTCCCAAGTCCGGGCCTTGCACTGCGAGTCAGTGATCGCTGACAGTGTACGGCAGTTGAACCACAAACCATTCTAATGTATACAGGGCAGCGCAGTGAAAGGCAAACAATTGCTTGCCCCTGGAATGGAAAATAAGTACAGTTATAGTATTTCTGACAGCGCAACAAAACTGCCCCTTTCCATCTCCTTTCATCAGAGCTTCTGTGACTGCCACTGGGGACATGCCCGACTTCACACAGACTGGAGTAACGGTGATGATGAAATAGTTTTCTGAAAGTGTTTGAGAGTGAGTGATGAAATGTTGCGTGGGCTCGAGAGGACGATTAAAAAGCAGCTAGCTTGCTGGCGAGCAAGCATTGAAAGGGTTAAAATGGGAAGGGGGGAGGGTGAAGACCGACATTTATCCAGCTACATTATTTATATTGCGCCTCAAATATCCTTGTATCTCAGTGGGTAACACGCAATTGATTTCACGGTCAAAGAATAGTTAGTGAAATAATGATGTTTCCTGAAAATGTACGGACTGTTGCAATACGAGAAGTGTTTACTTGCTTTGTTCTAAATACAGAAACGAAAATTTCTCTTGCCCCCACCCCCCACCAACTTTGCCTTAGAGGTGATCTGATTATCATGTGTATTGGAATGGGCTATGCTTTGTTGGTCACTAACAGTGACAGTTCTGTCCCATTCCCAGCAGCATCCAGTGTCACATGAAGGAGCCATTGATCTCTAACCCAGTTCCCTGCGAGCCGCTTACTTAAAGAGACAATACCCCACTCTGCAGATATAGTTTGGCTATCTTCCAGTTTTCTTTAAAAAATTGGACATTTTTATCTTCATGCATTTTTAAGGTCCCACACCAAACATTTACTTAACTGTGGGCTAAAAGTTAAGTATTGTTTTTGAAGTATTTCAGATAATTTCAGATAATTTCAGAAATAGTGCTAAATTTTCTATCATAATCGCAATTAGCTAAAATTTCCTGCCAACGATTAGGCTTTCCATTTAATATGTAATCAGGATTGGCAGATTAAAGGGAGATCGGAAGAAAACACTAGTCTCTTGCGAACTTTGAATCGAAGGAGTCGTTTGATAAGTTGTCTGTTTGGGGAGTATGATGCTTTAATTCTGATTCTAAAAACCGAGAAACAAATTGGAAATGTTTATTTCTTAATTCTTACTTGGAAAAATACAAGCGCGAGTTACGAATTACTCCTGGAAAATAATCTTGAGTACTGTCAGAACTAGAACATAAACAGTAAATGCCAGAAGGAGAGTTTTGGCAGGACAATGTTGCAGGCAATAATCAGAGCAAGGGTTGATTTTTCACAGTCTGGCTGAGAGATATTACAATCGATGTACAGATATTTTTTTAACATTCAAAATCTTGTTAAAAAGCATCAATTTTTAAAATCTTTCTGTGCTTATGTTAACAAGAAAACTAAACTGTCTTAAAAATATCGATTTCATGAGACTGTAGAATCTGTACGAACACACAAACAAGACAGAAATCATGTTTACCGTGACACAAACGTGATCTGTGAATATTTTACACGGTAAATACGGTACAGTGACAGGGGAGATTCAGGCTTGGTTTGGATACCGAGTAGAAACTGCCTATTCTTGTTTCTCTCTAAATCCACATTGTCCGATGTAAACTGAAGTTATCCCAGGATATTAACGTTAGCTAAGTAGTCTCACATTTTGTTTGTAAAACGCGATAGAAAATTATCTCAGTCGCAGCTCTTTGCTCTGTTCGGTTTAATTGTGCTTTTTTTTAAAAAAAGAATAACTGTATAGACAGTTCTACACACAAAACACTTCCGTTGTCGGTAGCTCATAATCTCATCCGGTGCTACCAAATATTAGATTGGCGGCCTTTTATTTTGGATGTATGGCATAGTTTTCAGGTAAACTGGCCCTGTGTTGTTTCTTCCTGAGTGTGCGAAATGGAAAGCAGGTTCTGGTTTCAAAGCTTAAACGCTCAGTAGTGGCTTTGTGTATATATAGAAAAAAAAAGTGTTGGAGGATTTACAGATAACAGTTTGGATGATGTAAAGCTTGGAGATTCGTACACATTCTTCTGTGACAAATTGCAGCTTGCCTCTGGAAAGATTCAGACAGAGTCATCGTCAGTGTCTGGGTTACTCTGTCTGTTTATGTCCACACTATAGCAAAGTTAGCAGAAGCAACCAAAAGACAGCACAGGAACACCTCTCTATCCTGAAGACCTTGTCGGTAGCTTACTGTTGAACATTCTTGGTTAGGAAGCCTGGAACTGGATGTGTTAGTTAGTCAGCCTAATAATCCCTGCACAGACTCTATTGATTTTTCTAAGGGCAAGTTTATGAAGTAAATAAACTTGGAGTTGGTATCTTAATAAACTGCTTTGCTCAGCCTGTCACATTTAGTTATGGGGCTGTGGTGTTTAAGAGAAGAAAAGGCTCATTCTAATACAGAATGTTCACAGCAGGGGTCCAAATTAGCCCTTTGTTTGGGAATGCTAGCTCACTTCAGCTTGCTTTGAGAGCATTCCTACGTTTTATCCTAATGAGTTGCAACACTGATAATGTGGCTGATGATCTTCCATTGATTTCACTATCACTTGTTTGTCTGGTAATTGATCCGTTGCTGAGCTTCCTAGTTAATTATATCGGCTTTGACATGGCCCCAGTCTAGGGGGAATTTCAAGTCTTGCAGAATAACAGTTTTAATAAAGGAGTCTATTACTGCAGGTGCTGCTACTGCTACTGCAGGCTGTCTAGGCTGGGAGGATTGCGGGACAGAGGAGGAGAGGGAGAGCTAGAGCGTGCTATTGGCAGTATCCTTTAGCCTCTCACAAATAACAGCCATTAGTGGGAAGGTCAGAAGCAGAATATACAGCTTGACTGGAGAACTGAGTGCCACTTCAGAAATCAAGAGGCTAGCTAATTTTTAAAGGGAGATAGAATGAGGGAGTGGAGATTTGAGAGTGCAGCTACTCTGTGGCATTATTGATCTCACAATGAAAAATCCACCGATGGGATCTTTTCTTGGAGCAAAGGTGGACATTGGTGCAATAATCCTGGGATATTTATTTTACTTTTGATGTGTGCTTTGTATTTATTTTCTAAATCAGCGTTTTCTGCTTTGGTGCTTTTTAATCTAATGGCAGTGAATTGAATGTAGTCCAGAGTGCATGCAGAGGGAAAGTTTGTCGGAAAGCTTTTAGGGAGAAAGGAGGGGGATGTGCACTTGTGTCACTATTGTGTACATTTGTTCATTATTTCTTATTGACACACTAATGACACCGAGATGTCACACAAGGGCTTTCTACTGGACCAAAAGGTGAGCTTCCATTATCACCTCCAAGCTTTAAAGAAGCAAAGGATTGTCAGAAAATGCCACAGATTTTTTTCCCTCCTGATCTCTAAATTCCTAAATTGTTCAGCTCCGAGTTGCTGAATGTAATTTCCTCAAACACCACCACCCCCCCCCCAGCCTGTGTGGAATTGCCACAGGATGTCATTCTGTGCCTGCCAGTAATGCTAGAGCTTTGAGTTCTTTGCGCTGTTATCCAATGACATCTAGTCACTGGGAGGGTGAGCTGATGGTCAGGTCTCATCTGTGTTGCCTGCACACCTGACTGGCAGCTGTTAAGCTGTACAGGGCGTGCTGTGGGAGTCACAGTCTATGCATAAATGATCGGGGTATCTGTTGAGAAGGTGCGAAAGGAGCACTGACCCCCCCTTCCCCCCCCCCCACCCCCCCAAAGGAAAGCAGAGTTGCAGGCAGATTCTTCACTGCACATCTTGGTACTGACAGCCCAGAGGCTTGAAAACCCACCAATACCTTGCAGTCAGGAACAGCAGAAGGGAATGTGAGAGAGAGAGAGAGAGAGAGAGGGGGAAAGGCAGTGAGAGAGTGTATGTATGTGTGTGTGAGTCAGAGCAAGCGACTTCACTTTAAGAGACTTAAGTCCCAACTACTCCATGCAGTTCAGCACAACAGCAGCATCCACAGAGCCTGGTTTCATGGGGACATGGCAGAACTCCGAGACTAACCTGCTCTTCAGAATGGCCCAACAGGTGAGTTTGATTTAAATACTTTTCTTGCATGTTTTTGTTTCCTTTTTCTTCCCAATTTGTTTTACTCCCAGTCAGCTGTTGTGTTGTTTATTTTGGTGTCGATTCATGCCATTTTATTGTCACTGAGCAACCGTGTTGCTGTGACTGGATTGTGCATGCTTGCCCTCATTACCTCCCTAAGAGCACGTCTCTGCCTAGCTTGAAGAAGAAAATAAAAGTGCAGCGGGAGCCAGTTGCTGTAAAGTTTCAGATAGATAGTTCCGGCAAGGCTTGCGGTTGAGTGGAGTTGATTGTACCTCAAGTGCTTCTAATAAACAGAGCACCATGTCCTCTCTCCCCCGACTGACAGACCTCGGCTGAAACTGATAGTAGGTTGAGGGGCCTCTTAGAGTTCTTTAATTGGCTTCATGTGGTAGAATGCAGCTTTATGTACTGTGGTTAGGGTCGGCGTGTTCAACTGCAATCCATGCCAGAGTTCAGCAGTGGGATCATTAGTATCTTGTGCAGAGACAGTTTCAATTCTTAGGTCTCTCTCTCTCTCCCTCTCTCTCTCTCCGCCATCTCTTTCTATTCTCCTATCGTCTCTGTCTCTCTCTCTCTCTCTCTCTCTCGTCCTCGCAATATTTTGGCTTTTCCCCCAGTGCTCTGTCTGCACTAGGGGCCGCTTTACAAGCAGCTGAGACTTGGCAAGCTCCTTCTGATGGGAGAGCAGAAATCTTGTTGCAGGGCCAGTAATAACTGATAATTAATCACAGAAGCGGGTGTCTCTGTACCAGGCACTCACTGATACGTGCCCTGCCTGCTCCCTGGTCTTCTTGCAAAATTGTTTGGCTCCACTGAATGAAAGCAATAGTTTTTTTTTTGGACGCTGCTCAAACAAGGGCAGGGAGGTTCAAGCCCAACCTTTCGAAAGGGTTGTTCCTCTCTTCTGGTGTTCTGACATGTGGAATTCTTGCCTAGTTTGGTCATTAGGAATCGAACAGACAGCCTGGGAGTGAAGATGCTCACTGCAGTCTCGCACTGATCTTGCCCACAACAAATAAAAATACTACTAATAACATCTAATAAATTTAGACTCCAATTTTTAACTGTTCAGCACTCTATGTCTATTTTAAAGCAAAACTCTTAACTATTTTAGATGTATTGATTTAAAGCAGGTGAATTTTGTTTCCTGTAGAGGGACCCCAGTTACTGCTTATAGAAGCGCACGCCCTGTGCTGCCTTTCTCATGCTACTGAAGACAGACTCTACCTTCTATTCAATCTGCCTCTCAGTAGATTGATTTTTTTTATAGGGGATATTTACTCATTGGGTGGATTGCTTCCCTTTTAAGAGGCAAGGAACAGATACAACGGGAAGGGAGAGGAAAAAATCCCTTCCAAGCTCTGTAGATGGTTTGCACAAACTGCTTTTTGTGTGCCGTGATGTTAATCCCCATTCTGAGACTTGCGGGTATGCATCATTATCCTTCCAGTCAATATAAGTTCACATTAGAAAGGAAGCTCTCATGTAGTGAAAGCAAATGGAACAGATGTGACAACATTCTGCAAAGTGTTATTAAGTAATATAGTGATGCTGAGGTAGTACAGGTAGAGATGTACAGTTGGGGTTCTGTTTTCAATGTTTTGTGGATGGCCTTTGTGTGAGATCAATAGCATTATCAGTGCCATGAAAAAATGTGAGTGATCCTTTAAACGATTAATCTTACTTTAAAATAATATGATAAACTGGGAACCGAAAGCAGCATGTTTGAACCACTGGCAGATCTAAAATTATATCCATATAGAAAGGGAACAAAACTTACATATTAGTTAAAAATCAAAAATTCAATAGAGTACAAATTGCTTATTTAAATTCTATGCGAGAAGCTTCAGTTTTTCAGTTCCATGAAAGTAGTAGGATTTGGTTAAAGAAGCAATAACATTTACTGAGACAATAATATATCCTTTTTGCCTTGTGGAGTAGTGTGGCGCACACACCGTTCATTATTTGAGTTTGGATGGGTAAATTTTGTCATTGCATGATACTTGCCAGATGAAGGACTAGCGAAAACCAACCTTCCTGAATCAGATGTTGCTCCATTTTTGGTGATGGTGGTGGTGGTGGCGGGGGTGGGGGGGTGTGCTGGGCAGTGCTTTTCAGACATTACTCATTTAACTTAAGGCTGAGCTGAGGAGAATAAAACCAAAGCACCCTGTTGTAATCAGTGGAAGGTTGTGGAGTACTGGAATATTCTTTTTGTATATTGATATGAATATATCAAATACTGAAAAAACATTGAATTTTAATTGGCTTCATTAATTGTTGCAATCAATTCCTATAAAGTGAATATCTTTATTACCTAATTGTTTTTTACGGAGCGGGAATATCCAAATAACAGGAATCCCCATGGATGAGTGCAGGGGATTTGATGTCACACAATCTCATGCCCAGTTTAAATCTGTAACAGTAGATTGTCTGCGATATAAATTGCTCATTGCTTTACGTTACAATTAATCTGTTTTTTGACAGTAATATTGGAACACATACACAGTTGAGAATTGTAGAAAGTGACTTTATGTAATCTGAGTTCCTAAGAAGGGAAAATGCGTGACTGATACAAAACACAAATGCACTAAATAGGAATTCACAGCCGGAATTAATAGTGACTGCAGACTTTTTTTAAAGAAATGGGGCATGTATCTCAAGCTCTGCTCATTTTACATAAATATTTTTTCCTCCGGCATTTTGTTAAATGACACAGACTAGATTGCAATTTGAGTCAGAACCCTGTGCAGTGCAAAAATGTTTTTGGGGATAAATTTTGTTTTGTTGGTATGATAAGTGCAAGGTTAAAGCAATCAGTCCATGGTAATGAGTAACAGAAAATAAGTTTTTTTTTGCTGTTTGTACAAAACCAGTGAATTGGTTCTTCGGGGCAAAACCCAGTGAAAAGCAGGAATACTTTCCAGCCATGGATTTTTGTACACCTATTAGGCTTTGAATCATTGGTAAACTAAGAACTAACACAGAATTGCAGAACTTTTCCCAATTCAGTATTCTCACAGCAGAGAGGGAGAAAAAACCCCACATTGTAAGCTCCTCATGTTTGATGGGAAAAAATGGTACTGAACCATCAAAAGGCTAATTTTATTTGTGACAATCTAAATTTGTCTGTTAATTTGGACTCTTATAACTTTCAATAAAGTACTTGGAACTGATTGCTATTTAAAAATGAAAATACGTTTCACTCCAAACTCGGATCTTACACAGGAGGGAATTCCTATGAATATCAAATAAGGAAGTTTATTGTGTTTCTTTGTCCAAAAACTGTGGGTTTCCTGTGACTTATTCATGCTTATGACTGTGATATTTAAGCCCACAGTCCAGATTAAATTTTACCACACAAGTTGAAAATTAAAATGTGTCTGAGTAATATGTACTATTTATTGTTTTGCCACAAATGTGCTTTAAGCCAGGTGAGTTACCCTTGGAGAAGTGAAGCAAAGATGCAAATATTTTGGCTACGTGCAGCTAAATTTTAAATATAATGTTGTAAATGCTGCATCTGTACTAAAAGTGATAAAATGATTAATGCTGCCATGTCAATGAACAGATAAACCATTTAATGTTTATTACAGGAATCTGAATTACTTTGGGAACATGTTATTTAACCTGCGCCAATATGTGTGGAATGTGTATTTATCAACTTCAATGTCCTGATGATTTTAATCTTACAAAGACCTGATGGCTGCACATCTGAAACACTGGTGAAAGTTAACATTCGATTGCAGAAAGGGAGATGTGTTTTAGGTCCCTGTAAAATAAATCATTCAAGAAAAAGAAATGTATTTACTGCAATATAAAAGAAAAATAAGAGACACAGTGAACTAACTATCAGTATGTTTACTGTGCTGAATAGAATCATAAGTATAAGAAATATAACAACATGGATTTATTGGGGGTTATACTGCACAAATATTTTGGAGATATATTTCTTTTGGAGAAGTTATTTTGGGGTGTTTTGTTCGCTTTTGCTAAACCAGGATGGAAAAAGTAAAAGTGTGAGTGAGATGATTGCAATAGTGGTGGTTTGGGATGTGGCAATCACCTGTGACAGCAGGTATATGGGCAGCTGGAGATTGTATTCCTCTCACTCGGTATGTTTATATGTGAATGACCCAGGCTGGGGAAGGTATGGCCTACATTCCTCAGCAGATTTACATTTGCACTGCTGTGGCTGGATTTATCGTGTTTTTCCCAGTGAGAAGATACCAGAAGACCCCGACTTTAATCCTATTTTTATTATTTCTTTACTTGTAAAAGCATTGGAATGTTTCAAAGGGTCAAGTTTGCCTTAGGACCCCGATAACCCTTATAAGTGTAACTGTTGAGGCAGACCTTTTGGGGTGGAGCAGGGAGGGAGAAGCTTGGGGAGCTTTTTGATCTGTCACAGGTTGAGATTGACCAGAATTTCTCAGCCTCTGTCTCTGCTGCTTTGCTGCCAAAGACCTTTTCTGTGTGACATTTTGCCATTCTTGTTCTGTGTTTTCCGCATCAGGAAGGTGTTCTGGTTTTAATCTATGCAATGCTGCATTTTCCCTGATTTTTCAGGACTGCTTAACTGTGTTTTAAAGTAATGTGCTTTCAATGATCATACTTGCACGTTAATTACAGATTTTGAAATCACCGAAATAACTTCAATTTGATCCATTTCCAAAGGAATCTTTTGATGTTCTTGACAGTCCTTGACAGTCCTTGACAGTTACCAGAGAACCTAAAGGCTGTGCACAAGGTTTTTCAAGTGAGAATTTGTGGTGAAAGTTCAGAGAAGGTGGCAATGGTTCTTGAAACTTCAGGACTGATTAAAGAAACAGGAAAGAAGGCTTGAAATATCCAAGCCGTTTTCTCCCCAATCCAGCTTCTTTTCGTAGAGTTAAACAGCAGCAAAGTAGGTGTTATAAAACAGCAAGGACTAAACTTGTTGTCTTTTTAAATTAGCAATGGTAAAGTGCCACCCA